AGATTAAAACAGATAGGATAATTAAACATAAACAAAAATTCACTTTCAAATGTCTGAATGGAATGCAATATTCAAGAAAACTGTCCTAAAGTTTGGTGACAGTTTTGCCCAATTCATACCACATAGTTTTAAAGTATCAAAATAGGAAAAAGCAAACAAAACTATACATATTTATTTTCTAGATTGTAGTTTTGGCCTTTAAGCATTTCCCAAAGTAGAACCCTTGTATCTATTTGGACCCCACCACAGACAACACACTCTTGCCAGCCCAATCATTGAAAAATATCTTACATCCTTCATTCAGCTTAATATGCAGTCTAGTGTCACACAGTATTGCCTCACAAATAACAGCTAATTCTTCTTAGTGCTTATTTAAAAGTATAAATAGCTTTATGAATTTATCCCTGACAATACCTATGTCATATAGAAATGAGTCATTTTACATACTTTTGATGAAATTTGTATATGTATATAGTATAATAGATATAAGTTGTATATGAAATTATGATGAAAAATTCAATCAGAACATCTTTATTTTTTCCCTCCAAAACATTTCAATGATTTTTGAGAACTGGTCTATAGACTAAAGTAACTACTATGGTGGCTACCGCTACTGTGATCTAATAGTTACATGATGCTGCTGTTGCTTATTACCACTCCCTTAAACTAACACAGAAATTTTCATTTAAAAAGGTATCTTTGATACAGATAGGAGACAGAAAAGTGCTGGGTAGGAGAGGGCAGTTCCTTGGCAAAGGCCCTACCCTCAGGCCTGGAGACCCGCGACCCTAAAAGAGGACAGGCATTCCCGTTTTCATACCCCAAAAGTTGCCTTTTGTCCCACCATGCCCCCTATCCTGTACCTATATAAACCCCAAACCCCAGGTTCTAGAAGCAGATGAGCAGGCAAGGAGAGGAGGAGACAAGCAGACAAATGGCGGAACAACGGGGCAGAGAAAGATAGAAGAGGAGAGAAGCCTGAACACTGAGAGGAGTTCGACTGGGGGTGGTCGGAGAAGTGTTCAGCCTCTGGATGGCCAAACTCCAGGAAAAGATCATCTTCCCACTCCATCCCTTCTTCCAGCTCCGCATCCATCCTGCTGAAAGCTACCTCCACCACTCAGTAAAACCCTGCATTCATCCTTTAACCCCTTGTGTGACCCGATTTTTCTGGGATACTGGGCAAGAGCTCAGGATACAGAAAGCTGTCACACTGGCCCTCCGCCCATGCGAAAAGGCAGAGGGTCCGTTGAGCTGGTTAACACTCAGGCCATCTGTGGATGGCAAGGCTGAAAGGGCACAGGGTAACACACACCCACTTGGGCTCCTGCACCTGTTCATCTGCATGCTGCCCCCTCCCCTCAGGGATTCAAGCAGCGGCCATGAAAAGGTGAGCCACACCCCTGTCACACGTCCTGCGAGGGGGATCAGGGAACTCTCCCATTTCGCCTTCACATACTTGCTTTTATGCTGTAAAATTCAATATGCAAAGTAACCTGGTGTGGTAGGCATTATTAGTACTAAAGAAGAAAGTATCAGAAAGTGGCCGGGCGCGGTGGCTCAAGCCTGTAATCCCAGCACTTTGGGAGGCCGAGACGGGCGGATCACGAGGTCAGGAGATCGAGACCATCCTGGCTAACATGGTGAAACCCCGTCTCTACTAAAAACAGAAAAAATTAGCCGGGCGCAGTGGCGGGCGCCTGTAGTCCCAGCTACTCGGGAGGCTGAGGCAGGAGAATGGCGTGATCCCGGGAGGCGGAGCTTGCAGTGAGCCGAGATTGCGCCACGGCACTCCAGCCTGGGTGACAGAGCGAGACTCCATCTCAAAAAAAAAAAAAAAAAAAAAAAAGAAAGTATCAATAAACCTTTCTAATTCCATCTTTGATCTAAATCACTTTCTTTATGGATGTCATTCTATACTCCAGTGTAATGACCAACGTTTAAAAATAATTTAAATATTTTCCTATAAGTATACATCTCTAAAATATAAATGCTACAAGCGCAAGACTGTTGCCTGTTATAGTCTCTGAAATTAACCCAAACACTCAGAACAGTGCCTGGCATAAAGCAAGACACAATAAATGTTTGTTGAATAAATGAGCTCATTCCTTATTGTATACTAATAAGAAAAGTCCAGTAAATGAGGTCGGATCAAACTGACACTGAGGAAGAGTTCCTGAAGGCAAGCAATTCTTTGGGGTAAGTGTTGTAAGTATACAATATTAGATTGGTATTAATTGTTTCAAAGTCAGAATAATGCAAAGCATTATTGTTGGTTGATCTGGTTTGACTGTGTCCCCACTCAAATCTTGTCTTGAACTGTAGTTCCCATAATCCCCATGTGTTGTGGGAGGAACCTGGTGGGTAGTAATTGAACCATGCTGTTCTCGTGATAGTGAGTGAGTTCTCATGAGACCTGATGGTTTTATAAGGGGCTTTTCCCCTGCCTTCACTCTGCACTTCTCCTTGCTGCCGCCATATGAAAAAAGATGTATTTGCTTCCCCTTCTGCCATGATTGTAAGTTTCCTGAGGCCTCCCCAGCCATGCTGAACTGTGAGTCAATTAAACCTCTTTCCTTTATAAATTACCTAGACTCAGGTATGTCTTTATTAGCAGAATGAGAACAGACTAATACAATGGTCATCTCAAGTAAACAATTTAGGCAAAACAATCCAACTGCTCTCCTTCATTATTCATCCAAAAAATTATACATGATATAAGGTAAGACTGAATTAAGCCTATCATGAAAAGCTAAAGAAGGTTATTTATTGACTATATATTTCCATAATTTATTTGAAATGCTATTTCTCCACTCATGCTACCATCTGTCCTCTGTCTTCCTGTGGTCTACTGACCCTGTTTTCATTAAGATGACAATGACCTATCTGTTGGCATATCTAACGCACACTTTTCAGTCTATATCTTACCTGACCTCTCTATGACATGTGACTCTGTTGACTCCCTTGTATTCTGTAACTTGACTCTCTCCTAGTCTTTGTCCTTCTGTTCTGATCCTGGTACTTCATTCTGTCTGCTTTGTGAGTTCTTCTTCCTCCTTGTTCTGTCCATCCATCCATCCATCCATCCATCCATCCATCCATCCATCCAGAAACTGCTTTTCTGACTAAACTAGCTCCTTTTTATAGAGTATTTTATACTCTGATTGAGCCAACTAGCATTTATTTGCTAAAAAGTTGTAACTCCACATCTCCAGCTCCAATCTGTCTTGAAATTAAATCTGTGAGCCCGGCTTTCTGCTGGACATCTGTATTTCCATTTCTCACAATTACCACAAACTCATGGGCAAAACTCATCAGCTTGCCCCCAAACTTTGTCCTATTTCTGCAAATCTCATCCCTGTGTAAAGCATCGCATTCCACATGGCCACTCACACCAGAAACTTAGGTACTGCCCATGATGCATCCATCTTCTCATCCCTTCATTCATCAGCTTCCATCTATAGACTAAGAATTGTGAGTCATCCATGAAAATGTTTTGAAGTATTTTTCCTTCCCTGTCTTTCCCATCTCCCACCTTTATGCCACAAAGTGTTCAGGGAAGGGATATGGACAGCCAAACTTGAGAGAGAAAAATAGGGTATTTCCTGCTTTTCCACGTCAAAAGTCCCAGCCATTAGAGTAATGGAAAACATTCAGAATTTAGGCAAACATTTAAGAGAAACCATCATGAGCAAATTACACCTGCTTTCTGGACTTGGAGTACAGAGAAGGAAGTAACTTAGAGGACAAAGACCTTGATGGACTCTTGAGAAAGGATAATAATAGCTAAAATTTATTAAGCACTTGGTGCTTCACAAGTATTAATTCATTTGACTCTTAAAATTCTCTGTGGCAGGGTACCATTTTTGCTCACGTTTTTGAGGGTGGGAAAACTGAGGCACAGAGAGAGTAAGAAACTTGGCCACGGTTATATAAGAAGTAAGTGGTGGAGTTTGGATTTGGACTCAGTCAGTACCTAAAGCCCACATAGTTAATTACTGTGGTATACTAGGCCCACACCGTGCCCCAAGATGAACACGAGCAAGGATTGCAGATTAACAAAGATGCCAGGAGGAAAGGTTCATTAGTCTAATGAAGACAGGAGAGTTTGAGAAATTGGTGGTTAGAATGAAGGCAAAAGACTGGCTCTGGAGCACAACAGAAAGGTGGAAGCTAAGAGGCTGAACTAGGAAAGTAGGACACCAGGGTAATCCCAGAGGGGAGGTCTAGGTAAGGGCTTCTTAATCTTGACACTATTGATGTCTGGCACCCAATCATTCTTTGTTGCAGGGGGCTGTCCTGTGCACTGTAGGATGTTTTGCAGTATCCCTGGCTTCTACCCTCTAGATGCCAGTATCACCACGCCCCAAGTAATGACAACTAAAAATGTACCTAAACATTAGCAAATGTCCCCTGAGACATGGGGGTAAAGAACTCACTCCTGGTTGAGAACCATTGCTCTAGACTTCCAGTTAGACCAGTCTGAACAACCAGGAACAGGAATAAACCAATAGACTATAAAGAATGCCAAAGAATCATGAATTCTAGGATTCTGAAAAGTTCCTATAAAATCAGAATTGTATAACTATGAAAGATAATTGATTATACTCCTGGAAAGGAGAAAGGAATCTTTCATATGACATGACATCTCTTCTTTGATTTATTCATCTCTATATACCAATATGTAAATTTGTCTTCCATTGTGCTAGATTTTATCACTCCTATGCTATTCTGGAGATTTTTTTTTTCTTCCTTAAAAGCCTGGACAGCAAATCTAATTGTGAAGTTAAAATTTGCAAAACTACTTTGAGAGGCCAAGGAAGGAGGATCACTTGAGGCCAGGAGTTTAAGACCAGCCTGTGCAATATAGTGATGTCCCCCATCTCTACAAAAAAGTTTTAAAAATTATCTGGGTATGGTAGCACTTACCTGTAGTCCCAGCTACTTGGCAGGCTGAGGCAGGAGGATCACTTGAGCGCAGAAATTTGTTTGTTTGTTTGTTTTCCAATTACAGGTGTTTTATTGAGCAGAGATAGTGAAGTTCCTTATGCTGTTATTTCAAAAGTGTTTCCTGATTTCTTTTTAACGAATGTCTTAAAATACAAGCAATCAGGACCCTTTAAATAAGGCAGTATGTTCACAAATCTGCCATCAGTTGATTCAACATCAACATGCAGTGTCCAGAATTAATAAGCGGTTCTTTAATGGTTATTTAAATATATTCCAGAAGAGTGTTTATAATTCATTTACAAGTGCAGTATTGCGCCAGCAAATGTTACTTGATCTCTTGTATAAATAATGCCAATTAAGAATTAGTCCTGGAATAGTTTTTGAATTTCTAGCTCTGTAGATCAAAACCACAATTGTAAATGGTATAAAGATGTAAGAATCATACTGTGATCAAGTCAATCTCAAAAATAGAGACCCTTCCCAGACCCTTCCCAGATAATTTAAGAACTGAGAAGTTTTCCTCAACGTAAACATGATGGCCTTTCAATGTGATACAACTATATCAAACTTGAGAATATGAGTATTTAGATGACCAATGTACAGACATTAATAGAATTTAAAAAACACATTTAAATCTGAAGTGGAAAAAAGGACAATTTACAAAGAATTACGGAGCTTTAATCATCATCAGAGTCTGAATCATATTTCTTTCCTCAGATAGTTTTCTTTTCCAGCTTTGTGAAGTTTGTTCCAAATTTCTTTTGGTTCTGAAATAGTGTCTCCATTAAATTTCCACTGTAAATAAGAATGTCAGAACAACCGAGCCTCCATTCTACACTTTCTGTGGTGAAGTCATCTGTATTTCCTAGGTCAGTAAACCCAACAACATAATCCTGTGTTTTCCCATCTTTTACCAGTGCTAGTGTGGGAATGACTTTGATACGCAGTCTCTCACAAAGGAAAGGTGCTTTTTCCACATTCAGCTTCAAAAATTTGGTCTCGAGGTGTTTCTTGGACAATATGGCCAGATGTGTGTCTAGTATTTTACATTTGAATGCGGAGTCTCTGTAGAAATGGCAAATCACCTTTTTACTCTCCTTGACTTCTTGAAAAAAGTCTCTTTCACTAGGGATTTCTCTATATTCCCCATGTCCTTTAGAAAGCCATTCTTGTTTCTGCTGTTGAGCTTTCCTTAGTGCCTCAAGTCTCATTTCTTTAAGGCATTCCAATTCATCCTCATCCATCTGAACCAGTTTTTGAATTTCAGAATCCAAATGTTCTTCCAGTAGTTTGGTAGTCTGAAGCAGCTGATTCTTCAGGACTTTGGAAAACATGTCAACAGATGCATCAGCTTCCATTCTTCTGAACGGTGCAGAGCTCAGCCTGGGTGCTGAGCTCTCAGTGATGTCTGAGAAGTGAGAGAGCAGCAGTTTCAAAAGAGAGGTCCACTCAGGCTTTTGCCTTGCAGTAGCTGCTGGCGGCTGCCGAGCGCAGGAATTTGAAGCCGCAATGGGCTATGATCGCACCACTGCACTCCAGCCTGGGCAACACAGCGACTAACAAATTTTTTTTTTTAATTTGCAAAAGTCTATGGGACACAAATTACTTGATTTCTAGTATAACAGGAAAACCAGTGATATGCAGGTTCGATATCTCTAAATGGCTAACATATTTAACAGGGAAACTGGCAAACATGGTGTCTATGTGAAGAGTAAAGGACTGAACTGATTTCTATTGACAGCTGTAAATGTGTCCATAGAAAATAGTGACCCATATGGCTCAATCCTTGAGAGGTGTCAGGTCCACCAAGGAGTAATTTCAAAAGGACTCTTCTGCTTGTATATTTCAAGAACCAAGAACCATGAAAGGGGTCCATGCCATCTTTTAAAATATCCTTTTCCATACACTTTGATCTCATAGCAGCTGTTCTTTCTTTTCTCTTCCCCCATATCCCTTTCTTCTCCTGCATTCCTTTCTTTCCTAGTTTCTCTTCTGCTTCTCACATGTTATTTTATAGACTCCAAAGATAGAGTCTGAATCTTCAGAGAGCAGAGGAAGGAATGAGACAGGAGACCAAGCCAGAATCCTCTTCAGTGAGCTGGAGAAAGGACAGGACCTTAAATGTTCTTGTTGCTTTACTCCTTCTTTTATTTATTTTTTATTTTTGAGACTAAGTCTCACTCTATTGCCCAGGCTGGAGTGCAGTGGTACAGTCTCGGCGCACTGCAACCTCCACCTCCTGGGTTCAAGTGATTCTCATGCCTCAGCCACCTGAGTAGCTGGGAGTACAGGCGCACATCACCACACCCAGCTAATTTTTGTATTTTTAGTAGAGGTGGGGTTTCACCATGTTAGCCAGTCTGGTCTCGAACTCCTGACCTCAAGTGATTCACCCGCCTTGGCCTCCCAAAGTGCTGGGATTACAGGCATGAGCCACCGCACCTGGCCTACTGCTACTTTTAATGACAAAATCTCTGAACATTTTTGCCAGTGATTCCAATGCCAAACCATTATTCTGTGAAACTTTCAAAGTATACTTTGAAGAAGTCTCTTTGTCCCTTTAGCAACGTGTGAATTAATGCCCTCAGAGAAACTCTACTTATGACTGACAATTCTTGGGATTTTTGAAGTATTTTAGTTCACTTTTTAGACAAAACAATGAAAACTCAAATTCCCTGGAAACCAGTTGAGGAAAACCTTGAGGCAAAATAGGAAAAGATAATCTTTATTCCCTCCGTATCATCATACCTTTGAACTTTTCAAACACCACACTGCCTACAGAGAATGTTTATTTTCTTCAGTAGGTTCTGGCCTTCCTTCATTTCAGGCAAACTTTAGTACAATCTGAGATTAGAAGATTTAGGAACTGGGTTTCAGGAATCATTGAGAAATAAAATCATTTTCTCTTTCTCAATTCCAGTTTTCTACTTGTTAAAATTTCCTTTAAGAAACATTTCTTAAATTGTCAAAAATTACTATAAAAGTTCTGTGAAAAATAACAGCTGTTAGCTTCAGGAATTTTGTTAATTCCCTTGTACATTTTTCATGTGTATAATAATATTTGAACAGAAAAATAATGCATCACAGATGTTAAAAAAGAGGATTATTGAATTGGCAAAAGTATGTAGGCAAAAAATTATAAAGGGCATTAGCTTTAATAAATTAATTATCAGTAGTATTTCTTAGTAGCTGAATATTTATTTCCATATATTTTTTTCTTTTTATGTGTATAAATTTAAGGGGCAAAAGTACAGTTTTGTTACTTGGGTATATTGTGTAGTGGTGAAGTCTGGGCTTTTAGTGTAGCCGTCATCCAAATATACATTGTACCTATTTTTGTGATTTTTTTTTTTTGAGACGGAGTCTCGCTCTGTGGCCCAGGCTGGAGTGCAGTGGCGCTATCTCAGCTCACTGCAAGCTCCGCCTTCCGGGTTCATGCTATTCTCCTGTCTTAGCCTCCTGAGTAGCTGGGACTACAGGCGCCGCCACCACGCCTGGCTAATTTTTTGTATTTTTAGTAGAGACAGGGTTTCACCATGTTAGTCAGGATGGTCTCAATCTCCTGGCCTCATGATCTGCCTGCCTCGGCCCCCCAAAGTGCTGGTATTACAAGCATGAGCCACAGCGCCCGGCCTTTTGTGATTTCAAGTATCTTCTCCTTCTAGCTACCTTTCTTCATCTAATTCTATTTATTTCAGGGTTTACCAACAAATTAAGTAAAAATATTTAAAATGTGTGGTCACTTATGTGGAACTTATTTGAACAGAAAGCTCTGAATCTTTAAATTTAAAAAGTTTATTTATTATAAGATTTCTACCTTGTTTTAGCCTTTCTAGAGTTCCTTTTTTAAAAACTTGTACCTAATAACTCTCTTTATAAAAACAAAATGTTGGATTTTGTATCAACATATCACTAGCAGATGTTAGGTTTTGCCCCTGTTGGCTGCTTTCTTGAAGTGATTTTTATTTTTTCTTCACTTTTCCAGAATAAATTAAATAGGAAAATAAACAAAAGAAAATGGTCATGTAGGCCTGCTGGTTGAGGTCAACAATTGTCTTAAAGTTAGCCTCAGAACATCTTTAATAGTTATGAACATGTTCCAAAAGCACTGGCAGAAGTTCATAAAATAAGGTGAAGAGACGATTATTTTCATAACTGCTAACAACTCCAAGTCAAATAATTCCCAGTCAAATGAAACCTTTTGTGTTTCTTTTCCTCCCAACTTTAAGAACAAAAGTTTTTGTATTCTCTATTACTCATCAAAGATAGTCTGGTTTGACTAACAATATTTACTTTACATTGCTACAATTTTAAAATTACTAAAAAGGTGTTATTTAAATTAACACTTTTAATTGAAAACATGACAAGAAAAAACTGGAGAAGTGTTATACAAGTTTTTTTTTTTTTTTTTTTTTTTGACAGAGTCTCTCTCTGTCACCCAGGCTGGAGTACAGTGGTGTGATCTTGGCTCACTGCAACCTCTACCTCCTGGGTTCAAGTGATTCTCCTGCCTCAGCCTCCCAAGTAGCTGGGATTACAGGCACCCACCACCACACCTGGCTAATTTTTGTATTTTCGGTAGAGACGGGGTTTCGCCATGTTGTCCAGGCTGGTCTGAAACTCCTGACCTCAAGTGAACTGCTCATCTCGGCCTCTCAAAGTGGTAGGATTACAGATGTGAGCCAGTGCACCCAGCCCAAAGATTTTGTTTGTTTGTTTGTTTGTTTTTGAGACAGAGTCTGGCTCTGTTGCCCAGGCTGGAGTGCAGTGGAGCGATCTCGCCTCACTACAAGCTCTGCCTCCTGGGTTCACGCCATTGTCCTGCCTCAGTCTCCCAAGTCACTGGGATTACAGGTGCCTGCCACCACGCCCAGCTAATTTTTTTGTATTTTTAGTAGAGACGGGGTTTCACTGTGTTAGCCAGATGGTCTCGATCTCCTGACCTCGTGATCCACCCGCCTCAGCCTCCCAAAGTGCTGGGATTACAGATGTGAGTCACCACACCCGGCCGCCTGCTTTAAAAGTATAGTACCACAGTATCATGTATAAAAGCAAGTTATACAAACTACAGGTATCAATTATATCATAAGTTTCATAAAAATAAAAATTTATGGCCATGTGGTTTTGATAGTTACTGAAAGACAATTATTATACTGATATGGTTTAGATCTGCGTCCCACCCAAATCTCATGTTCAGTTGTAATTCCTAATGCTGGAAGTAGGGCTGGTGGGGGGTGATGGGATCATGGGAGCAGTTTCTCATGAATGGCTTAACACAATCCCCTTGGTACTGTTGTCATGATAGTGAGTGAGTTCTCCTGAGATCTGGTTGTTTAAAAGTGTGTAGCCCGCCCGCCCTTCCTTCTTTCTTTCTTTCCTTCCTTCCTTCCTTCCTTCCTTCCTTCCTTCCTTCCTTCCTTCCCTCCTTCCTTTCTTTTCCTTTTTCCTCCTCCTCTTCCTTCTCTTTCTCCTTCCTTCCTTCCTTCCTTCCTTCCTTACTTCCTTCCTTCCTTCCCCTTTTCTCCCTCCCTCCCTCCCTCCCTCCCTCCCTTCCTTCCTTCTCAGACACAGTTTCCCTCTGTCACCAAGGCTGGAGTGCAATGGTGCCATCTTGGTTCACTGCAACCTTCCCGGGCTCAAGTGGTTTTTGTGCCTCAACCTCCCAAGTAGCTGGGACTACAGGAATGAGCCACCATGTCCTGCCATTTTTTGTACTAATAGTAGAGATGGGGTTTCGCCGTGTTGGCCAGAGTGGTCTCAAACTGCTGGTCTCAAGTGATCCGCCCACCTCAGCCTCTCAAAGTGCTAGGATTACAGGCATGAGCCACCGCACCTGGCCAACAAGTGTGTAGCACCTCCCCGCTTTCTCTTTTGCTCTTGCTCACACCATGTGAGACGCCTGTGCCCGCTTCACCTTCCTCCATAATTGGAAGCTTCCTGAGGCCTCCCCAGAAGCAGAAGCCACTATGCTTCCTGTACAGCCTGCAGAGCCGTGAGCCAATTCAACCTCTTTTCTTTATAAATTACACGGTTTCAGGTATTTATTTGTAGCAATGGGAGAACAGATCAGCACATATACTAATAAATATAAAAAGTTGCACAGGGTTGTCATTGACAAATAAAATAATTCCACCCAGTATTTATTAGGGATAAATATGTATATTAATAGAAAGTAACCCAATGAAGTAGCAACAAATTTAGAGCTAGACATTATGGTCATCTATCTCATTATTGTCCAACCATACTAGATTTAGAGAGTAGGCGAGAAAGAAAAAGAGAGAGAGGCAGACACATGTCTTTATAGTCTCTCGAACTAGATAATCTGGCTCTTCCTCTTAATGAGATATTGATATTCTATTTTCAGAGAAAGGGAAGCCACACCAAAATGCAAGGAGAAAGAAAAGACAGATTTGACTTTAGAGTTACTGGGGGCTGATGTCCCGGTCAGTTTATGATCATCTTAGCAATTTAAGGATAATTTTCACTATGAATAAATTCTCCCCTTAAGAACCTAACTTCTAAGTAAGATATGACTCCACTGCATTAAAATCCTCATTTGACAGATGTATTATTAGTCTGTTCTCACACTGCTAAGACTGGGTAATTTATTTATTTTTTATTTATTATTTTATTTTTTTGAGACAGAGTCTCACTCTGTCACCCAGGGTAGAGTGTAGTGGCACGATCTCAGCTCACTGCAACCTCCACCTCCCAGGTTCAAGTGATTCTCATGCCTCAGCCTCCCGAGTAGCTGGGATCACAGGCAAGTGTCATCATGCCTGGCTAATGTTTATATTTTTTAGTAGAGATATGGTTTCATGATGTTGGCCAGGCTGGTTTTGAACTCCCGACTTCAGGTGATCCACCTACCTGGGCCTCCCAAAATGCTGGGATTACAGGCGTGAGCCACCATGCCTGGCCAAGACTGGGTAATGGTAATTTATAAAGGAAAGAGATTTAATGGACTCACAGTTTCATGTGGCTGGGGAGGCCTCACAATTATGGTGGAAGGCAAAAGGCACGTCTTACATGGCAGCAGTAAAGAGAGAATGAGAGCCAAGCGAAAGGGGAAATCCCTTATAAAACCATCAGATCGCATGAAACTTATTTACTACCTTGAAAACATTATGGGGGAAACTGCCCTCATGATTCAATTACCTCCCACCAGGTCCCTCCCAGAACACGT